CAGGACAGAACAGTATGCACTCATTTCATCCTATACTTTTTCAGCTCTTCATAAATCTTCCCATATTCCAACCCATTTGGGAGATAATGGCTCCAAATTCATGGACAAAGTAAAGTAGTGTATCTCTGAATAATTAACATCCTCATTCAGCTTAGAAAAAAAATAGATTTGAGATTTTTGTTATCCTCTGATGAATTAAATCATCTGATTGAATGTATCAAATAATTATACAACTCCTCTTCTCGCATATATGCTCTGGACTGCAGAAAAGTTCTAGAAATAATTCAAGGCATAGTTTTACCCTTGTCTGTACCCTTGTACACCCAGACTGAGCGTCACTCTCTGCTTTCCCATCTCTCTGACCCTTTTAACCCTTAGCATAGGTACCCTTTTATAACTTAGTTTTGGTTTAAAACACACACAAACCTATGAAAGTTAAGTGGTAGAATAGAAGGAGATCACATTTAGCAAAGAGACCACATTCAAATCTTCCTTTAAGTAAATTAACTCTTCTAAGCCTTAGTTTCTTCATTTGTAAAATGAAGGTAAATTGAGACAGCCAGAATATTTTTGGCCATAAGTAATAGGATACTGTTACTTAATGACTTAAATGTTAAGGAATTTATTACCAATCACAGCAAGAAGTCCAGAAGCAGAGTGGTTGAGGGTTGATTAAATCAAAAATTCACTGATGTCATCAGAGACCCAGACGCTTTCTGTCTCTTTGCTCCCCTTATGGTTGCAAGATGCTTGGGCACCCTGAGCATCGCCTCCCTATGAAATAAGAGCCACACGTGACATAGGGCTGGTCCCTGTCTTGTGGCCCTTTGTACAAGTGAGGCGCCTCCCCACCCTGTAGCCTTCCCTTTATGGTCTATTAGACATAGCCCAGAGCTACACCACACAGCAATGCCCACATTAATCACTAATGTGGGCCACAGAACTCCTGTGCATGAGTAGGAAGAATTAAGATTTACCCCAGGACTGAGGAGGGAATCCTGAAGCATATCAGAACCTTAATTAAATAGAATCTAAACCGAATTCCATTGGTGAGGCGAAAGAGAAAGAAGAGAAAGAAATGGAAAACAGAAGTGCAAAGTTGGGGTGAGAGTTTAAACTCCTGGCGCATGAGAACATCTCCTTTATGTGTACTTACCTACCTGCCTAGATGGGTAAGGGTAAGGAATAGGTCTCATGTCAGTTTTGCATCCCCAGGAACCAGTGTTTTGCCTCCCACAGAGGACGTGTTTAGGAACGAGCACAGGCCCTAGTGTGAGGCTTCTATAATCAGTAAGGCATATGCTGAAAGTTTCTTCCCCACTTTCTCACCTAAGCCGCCTTACAGCAATTGGATCCATGTTGAAGACAACTTCATGGTCTCCCTGGGGCAGTTGGCAGATAGTATGGGAGAGACGTCAGGTCAAACTCATGCCCCTAGAAACGGTCAAGATGAATAACACATCCTTTATATTTTGGACAGTTTCCTCAACTGTAACTGTGGGATTAGGTGACCTGAATGGCTGACACAGCTTTGAGAGCAAAGGAGAAATAGTTCCCATCTCCATTTATTGAAGGAGCTACTGTTTATTGAAGAAGGCCACTAAATTAACAAATGCATCACGTTCTGGAAACTTTTTGCGTGGAGGTTGAAAAGAAGACAATACATAATGATAACTGTAAATATAGACAATATCTCAGAAGCCTTTGTCAATAGAGGGGTTGTTACTTTCAATTTTCTGGTCTCTTCCATCCATGGATGCCTTGGGCAATCTTAGACGAAGACATTGGATGTAGCCAACTGACCAAAATGAATGCAGTCAAGTGAGCAGTTGCAGAGCTATGACTTGGGGCAGTATTATGAATTAATCTGAGATGGAGCTTTGGCTCCCAAGTTCAATCATGGACTTGGAATGTACTCCAGAGGGTATTCACAGCCAGGCAGAGGTGAGGTCAGATACTAGTTTCAGAAATAACAAGGGTTGAGGGACTCATGACATATCATTAATCCCAACCCTAGGCAATTCCCTGGCCCCAGAAGCTATATTTATTGGAAGTAATCAAATGGAAATACAATGGGTGGGTGGGATATAATAATGAGGAGTTAGGAATGTTAGGGAAGAAAAATAAACTAGGTTTGAGGATTTATGCAGAAAAGGAGGAAATAATGGAGAATATTAATACCTATTTGGGAAAAAAAAAACCTCCATAAATGAAGGAAAACGCACAGGAAACCTAACATACATGCCAAGGAATAGGACAATTTTGGGTAAATGTGAGTTTTCTTAAAATATTCTTTCTTTGGGAGACTTCCATTTCTAATAAAGAGTATTCATTTTAAAATTGAACAACCATTGATTTTGGAAAGATTCTTTTGGGCTTAGGTGTTGGGCAATAAACACAACATAGACACACACTCTCTCTCTCTCTCATCTTCCATTTTTTTAGTGTTTTTTTCTTCAAATTCCTTTGCATCTCATAAACCCAACCCCATGCCTTACCGTGTCTTTAAAAACATTAACTGATCAACATTCAGAAATGGCATCAAATTCCTCTTATTCTTTGAATGATTAAAAAAAATTGCATGCAAATCCAAAGAAATGTTTCTAGAAATTTTTTGAATCTTGTATGACTGAAACTCTAGGATGGATTAGGCATTTATCTACTTCATTCTACCATTAAACTTTATCTAGCTTATAAATCCATGGCAACTTCCCTACTGAAGTTAGAAATGCTCAACCACCAATTAGTGAAATAGACTCCAGAAACCTTGATGGTAGTGCAGTCAGTAATACACTTAGACAATTTTCTAGATAGTACACAAGAAAATCTTCTCTACTCTTTAATAACGTACAATTTTCTGCAGGAGCTAGGATTTTTAATGAGTTAACCAAACATTATTTGAATCCTTCACTTCCTTTAGCTAAAGTAGCCCTCCCTTAAGCTTAAAAATCACATAAATTACTACCTTTTCTCCTCACTCTCACTGTCCCCTCCCCCTTTTCTACTGCAGGAGAGACCTTTATTACAACAAACTTTGAGGCAATTATAGATGGCAAATTGATTATCTAGCATCAGGAACTTTCTAGATTACTTTGTCAGCATTTCTTCTTTCGCAAACACATTTGTGTGTTTAAAATGCCCTATTTTTTCAGCAGAGAAAAGTGATTATGGAAACCTACTTAATCAGCCTTTCATGCATTTACTAGGGCTCTGTAAAACTCAAGAATGTCATCCTTTTATTATGCTGATGTTTGGGTGTTGTGACATGCATATAAAAATAAAATTAAGCCAACAGGCTTAATCCCATTTTCTTTGTCCTGTATGTCTCCACCAGGCAGACCTTGTCTATTTCAAAGTCATTTTGACAGTTTTCATCAGTATGTCATTTTTTTAACTATTTAAAGAATGATGGAGACTTAATAGAGTAGAAATCAGAGAAAATCTTTAATGTGAAAAATCAATAACTTCCATCTGTGTGTTGATGGTGGGCCTGTCTTGAAAGTTATTTATTATTAATCTTTAAAAAATAACTTATCAAGAAGTGAGTACCTTCCAATAACTACTTAAATGAAATAGGAAGAGTTTGGCTTCCATTCCTGCCCTCAGACTTCACAAGTGCCTTGATTATTACAATTCTTACCACTTTACTAGAGGATTTCAGTTCTGTTCACAAAGGTTTTAAATTTTGAGGAAGTATATCTATATATTTTTTTCTCTGTTGCTTGTTTTTGGTGTCGTATCTACAAAACCATTGTCTAATCCAGGTCACAAAGATTTACCCCTATGTTTTCTTCTAAGAGTTTCATAGTTTTATGTCTTATATTTGGGAGCTTAATCTATTTGGAGTTATCTTTTTTTTTTGTTTATGATGTGAATGGGGATCGAACTTCATTATTTTGCATGTGGCTATCCAGTTGTCCTAGCACCATTTGTTGAAAATATGATGCTTTCTGCAATGAATTGTCTTGGCACCTTTGTTGTAAATCAACTGATGATAAATGTGAAGGTTTATTTCTGTACTCTCAGTTCTATTCCATTGATCTGTATGTCTGTCCTTGTGCCAGTAACACACTGTCTTGTAGTTTTGTAGTTAAGTTTTGAAATCGGGAAATGTACGTCCTCCAACTTTGTTCTCATTTTTCAAGGTTGTTTTGGCCATTTGGGGTCCTTTACATTTCTGTAGGAATTTTAGAATCAGCTTGTTAATTTACATTAAAAAGCCAACTAGGAGCTCAATAGGAATTGAACTTGCAAATAAATTTGGGCAGCAGTGCTATCTTAGCAACATTGTCTGTTGTCTGTTCCATGAACATGGTTTGTCTTTCCATTTATTTAGGTCTTCTTTAATTTTTTTTAACCCTGCTTTATATTTATTAGAGAATATGTTTATCACTTTTTTGGTTACATTTAAATCTATTCCTACAAATGTATTCCACTTTTGAAAAGAGAATGTTTAACTTTTCTAAGCATTTGTGCCTTGGACAAACATGACAGTATGGTTGATCTATAACAGAATAGCCTTAAAGACTCAGACTAAAAGACTGAGTTTTGAGTTATAATCCTGGAACTTCCACTTACCAGCTTTGGAAACTTGGGCACATGAGCTGCTCTCTGCCATTTTCATTATCTGAAAATAAATATTTAAAAAATAAAGGTAGTTACACAAGAGAGGTTTTTATGAAGATTAAATGTAATAATACATGTAAAGTTAGAAGAACTATACTTGGCGCAGGGTAAGCAGTTAGGAAAGATAAGTTATTGTTATTGTTACAATGCTCTTTTTCTTCTACTTTTCTCTTCCCTAAAACTACTGTTAGGCAGCCACAATTAGATTTGGGATTATGCCACTAACTTCTGGTATGTTGAGGCAGATGGTTGAGACCAACTACACAAGTTCCTGAACTCTTTATTCTCCCATTGTTGAAAAGATTTTTTAGGAAGCCACCAATGTCTTCCTTGCTTTGTAGGATTCTAAGGATCATTTTGTTGGTGTTTTACAGCTGGCCAGTTGGCTGGAAACTCCTCTGTCGAGATGTATCGCCAAGTGCTCCTGTCTGGTTGTCGCTGTGTGGAGTTGGACTGCTGGAAGGGACGGACTGCTGAAGAGGAACCAGTCATCACCCATGGGTTCACCATGACAACTGAAATATCCTTCAAGGTAGAGTGAATGAATATTGCTAACAGAAGAAACCAGGGAGACCTGAACCCTTTTGGGTAAAGCCTCCTAAGGTAGAAAGTCCCAGTGGTTATAATTAAGTCCATAGGCTATTAATCATTTTTGCAATTTCAGAGGCTAAAATTTAGTAGTGTATTTGTGGGTAATTAGCATCATGTCGTAGGGAGCTGTGGTGTTTCAGAAAAAGTGCCTTAGAGAGGACTTACAGGATTTGGGCTTATATTAGGTGATTTGGGGGAGGGTTCAAGAAAGTAAGGTTTTGCTATAGATTGGGTACTATCAATAAGCAGAAATAATCCTGTGACTAGGTATCTTAATAAATCCTATCTAGGAGGTAAGATTAAAGCTGTAACTGATAAAGAGCTTCAGTCATTCTTATTAGCCAGGAATGAGGATATGTTTGGTCATCTCTTTTCTCTTTCCACACAAGGCTCCATCCTACATCGTAAAGGGCCTAACATTCATGCATATGGACATAGACGCCCAAATATCCAAGTTATGTTCACATCCCCTGAAAAGAGCCATCCCCAGGAGCTTGGAATCATTTGGGTAGGGGAAATCCGGGTCTCTAGGGACCCAGAGAAAAATCTAGGAAGAGGATATGTGGGCTATAGGGGAAATGTGTTTTTTACTGACTCAGGCTTTTCACCTGTCTGGAAGTAAACCAGAAAAGAAGGGCTATAGGACAACCTCTAGAGCACAAATCCCAAGGCATGAGCCCCATTACCTGTGTTACCTGGGTCTCAGGACAGAACTGGCTCTGGGTCACTAACTCTTGCCCTAAGCAACCAAGGAAACAGTCCAAGTATGTGGATAGCTAAGGTAGAGGGAGGAACAAGGCCATTGAAAAACAAGGCCTCATTCTGGCTGAGAGGCCAAAATGTTGGATGAATTATATATTAATGTCCCCAAGATTGTTGACAAAGCTTTGGATGAAGAAGACAGTGAGGCACTTGCCAAAGTCTTTGCTGAATGAGGGGGAGCTCAGTAAATGGCACAAGAGAGGAAGTGGTAAAATCTGGTTGGAGTGCCTTATGAGAACTAGGAACTCAAAAATAGCATTGGGAGAAAAAAAAAAACCCACTCCCCAGTTTTTGGCCCCAAGGCACCTGGGATGTGAGAAAATAAACAGCTATCACTCAAGAGAGCATCAAAAGAGAAGCAGGATTGTCAAGGGACAGGCTGATTTCAAATGAGATAAATGGATTTCCTGATCAAAGGTACCATATTTGACAGTAATAAAAATGCGTTCAGAATTGCTATCATTAGCACCTTAAAATATGTTCACTATGTTGTGTCTAGGGAATTTGACTTTTCATGATTTCTTAAACTTAGGCTACAACACAGTAATTAGAGATACATAGCACCCTTCACTAAATTTTACAACAAAGTTTAATATGAAGGTGACCTTAATCCCGATCAAATCCTTACATTTATATCTATACCTGAAAGGGAGTACTCAAGTTCTTTTGGTTTTCTTTAATGGAAAAATCAATGGGTTTTTGTTTCATTTCCATAGTCCCCCTCTCTCCCAGCTCCTGCCATTGTCCTTTGTCAGCTCTCTAAATACCAACACCTAACCTCGCTGGGATCTTTTTTTTTTTTTTCCACTGGGCTCTTTAAGAAAAGGTAGGGCACAGGTGACCCTGGTGTGGAGAGAGTGCAGTTTGGGCTCATCTGGCTGTTGATGGATGGAGATAATCCTGGGAAGGGAGATACCACATCCTGATGGAGCCACTCCTGCACTAAGGGACTGAAGGCCTTGTGAATTGACCCAGTACCAGGAGGGCCCTCCCATCCCCTGCTCATGGTCCCCTCAGAGTCCATATGGGGAGCAATTATATATTCTTTTTTTTTTTTAAGATTTTATTTATATATTTATTTGAGAGAGAGAGAACAAGTAGTGGGGAAGGGCAGAGGGAGAAAGAGAGAGAAGCAGACCCTCCGCTGAGTAGGAAGCACGACACAGGGCTCAATCTCAGGACCCAGAGACCATGACCTGAGCCAAAGGCAGCCGCTTAACTGACTGGGCCACCCAGGCATCCTGCAATTATATATTCTTGAAAATTTGTAATCCTCAAGGTCCTTTGAGTTCTGGGGTAGGGCAAGGGAGGGGTAGGTGGAGAGATAAACACCAAGCGCATTCTAAGGCATATTTATTTTATGTGGAGCATTGGCGTCTTGATCTCAGCCACCAAGTCAACTTAGAGTGACTTTCCCTGGACACTTGTCTATACAATCGGTTCTTCAGTCACATTTGTGATCCCAGAGTCACAGGCTGATTGTACATCTCTTCCTGGGCTGGGGAAGCATAACTTCACCGCATCCACACATTTGTGGACAGATGTAGAAACTAGAAGACTAAATCTAGCCCAGAATACTGCTTCCTTTCTCTGCCTGCCAGTGGGGTGTGGGGGGTGGCCAAAGGGAGCAGGAAACTCATCTCCCAAATGGTTGGTTTGTCCAGCCATGCTTCTTGCTAATGCGCATTTGCAGGATGGATTATTCTTGCAAAGATGTAGGTGGGTGGTGGTGGTGGTAGACTAGGATGGCTGTGGATGGTAGAAATGTCAACCTGTTTTGTGGACAAATACAGAAAGTAGGAATTCTCTGCATCAAGACTAGGACTGAGGTGAAGCTTAGTGCGGCACCTCACATGCAAAATTTAAGGAGGCACTTGCTCTCGGTGTCATGTACATGCAGAGTTGGTACCCAAGGATGAGTGTCTCTTTACATTTTGCCCTTAGACCCCTCCCTTGCCTCACCACAGTCCCAGCTTGCTCTGCATGGTTATCGGCACAGAGTCTGCTTTTCCAGAAACCACTGTGTATGTGAATTTGGAAGAAAGGGTAAGAAGAGAAATGGGGGACAAGATCCTGTGTGATCCACCCCCTGTTACCCCTTTCCCCCTCACTCACTTGGCTACAACTCCACTGGGCTCTGCTGTTCCTTTTTAAAATTTTTTAAGTATTTTATTTATTTATTTGAGAGAGAGAGAAAGCATGAGCTGTGGGGAGGGGCAGAGGGAGAGGAAGAAGCAGACTCCCTGCTGAGCAGGGAGCCTGATGTGGGGCTTGATCCCAGAACCCTGAGATCATGACCTGAGCTGAAGGCAGATGCTTAACCAACTGAGTCACCCAGGCACCCCAGCTCTGCTGTTCCTTGACCATGCTAGGCAGGTCCCACCTCACGGCCTTTGCACAGGTTATGAGGCTCTGCTTGGAATGTTCTTCCCCCAGGTATCTGCATGGCTCACCTCTTACCTCCTTGAAGTCTTTCTCAAATGCCACCTTCTCAAGAAGGCCTACTGGGACCACTCTATTTAGTACCATAATGAGCCATCACACCCACTCCCACACTCCCAATACACTCCCTAGCACCACTTTATTTTTTCTGTTTACCAAATGGCACCTTATCACCTCCTGCCACTCTGTTAATTTACTTAATTATTATGTTTCTTGTTTATTGTCTCTCTCCTTCTGTTCTTCTACTAACATGTAAGCACCACAAAGATAGAGATCTTTGTTTTGTTCCCTGATCTGTCCCAAGCCCTTCGAAAAGAATCTGGCATATAGTAGGTGCTCAATAAATGTGTGTGTGTATGTGTGTGTGTGTTTTAATGACTCATCGCATCCCTAGCAAATAGACAAATTACAGCATAGCTTTTAATTTTAGTCTTTCTTGCCTCTGTCCATCAGATATATGAATTTTGTCTTTCTCCATTTTCATGTGTCAAATTCCACATATGATATATTGGTGGGCAGTGAAAATATTCTCTGAACGTTTGCCAGTTTGGGCTATCCCATGTATTTGGAGCTGACCTTCATGGTGCAAATAGGCTGTATTCTATAGCCACTGCACATACAGTAACAGCAAAATAAACTGATTACAAAAGTTCATCATTTTTATGTCACACCATTTATCTGCTCTCAATCTATGTAATTTGAAAAGCTTCTGTGCGACATATCCGCAAAAGTGAAAGCTCCTATTGGCATTTACTGCCTATTTATTATATGGGCCAAAATAAAAGGTTATGTTCTGAGAAAGGGGACATGCTGTAATTCGGTGTCTTTATGGAGGACTTTTTATTTTGCACTCTGGATTTATTTATTATTTATCTCATATATCTGCTGTTCTGTTTCTTTGCCTCATAGCCTTAGCCTTTCTGATGGTTATGACATAGTCATTCGCGACTTGGTTTTCATTCTCTCTGCTCCCATTCAGTCTCCTTCCTCCCCACACTGGACACCACCACCCCCAGCCTATTCCACCCCAAATTGCTCTTTTTTCTCCCCTCAGGCAGAGCCTTTGTTAACAGCAATTGTATAAGATGGAAAAGTGGGTAATGTGATAAAATCAATGATGAAAATATAGTAAATTTCAGTATGTGGTTAAATCGAGCATTTCTGAAAATAAAGCTCTGAGAAAAATAATAATTTAGGATGCAACTTAACAGCTACATAAATGGCCACATAAAATGGATATCCAAATACATCCTGCTGTTGTCTATCAGGGCTAAAGGATTTCAGGAGCAGTTTTTCCCACTGGAGGTTAGTAATTGAGCCATATGGTTTATAGATTATTGAATCCAGTGTTAGGAGTCCCTGAAAAACAGTTTTGGCTTAATAAGGAGGAATTGAGTAGTAAGGTACTTTCAATACAGTGTCCACTAATGATAGCTCAAATGTAAGAACCAAACTTAAAACTTATAACAGGTTTTCTCATCCTCGATGATCATGCACACCATGCAAAGCATTCCAACGCCATTAAAAAATGAAAGTTCTATAGAAGAACTTCTGAATTGTTCAGGTTGCTCCTGACTACAGTTACTAGATGAAATCTAGTAAGTGCTTTCTTTGGTTTTGAAGATTCAAAAAGGTTTCCTGTGCCAGTGACTGAAGTTATGGTGGGGGTGGGGAGAGATGGACAGTGGGAAGGGGGAGAGGTTGGGAGGAAAAGAGAAAAGAGACTGTAGAAGTTAA